ACACCGTCAGCACTACTTTAAGCCACTAAGTTATCTCGCCTTTTGTGTTATTTAATGAAATAAAATAAATTTTATTAACTTTTGTGTTCATCAAAACAATCAATACATATATATGATTAATAGTTCCAATTAAAAATAAAAAAAGTAATATTTAAAATTAGCATTTTATAACCAAATAAAATAAACAATCTATCAAATCCAAATTTACATCAAATTATGATTTTAATTCCAAGAAATTTGTACAAAAAAATATTAATAATAGTATAATTATTTTAGTACTTAAAATTTATAAATTTGTGCATGATATATAATATGATAGGTTCATATTTATGCATCCTGAGTATCAAGTATCGTATACCTTAAAGTCAAAACCCAAACCCTATAGGGTTTTGATAAACGGGTCCTATTAGGGTTGGGATGGGTCGGATGCCCAAAAATTCCCGTGAAATTGCCATCCCTAATCTTAGTTTTCCCTAAAAAAATACAAGTTTTAAATATTATTTTTAATTGTATAATAGCATTTTAATCATTATTTCAGTGATTAATAGATGTTTAATAATCATTTATATATGTAATAACTTTTTAATAAAATTTGTAATTTTCTTTAGCTGAATATTGAATAGATTTCAATATATTTTTGTTATACGCAAATCTGTAACCGCTAGATTAGAACATGTTTGTGCATCCTATGCACATGCATAGCATGGGATAATGTGAACCACAAAAAAACACTAAGGAGAAACGACTTGCATTCACAGTCGATTCCAGATGAAAAGTTTTACAGTGTTGATGTGGCATGAAACAGAACCAAACAGATTGGGTTGAAATGGTCTCAAAACGTTTTTTGACTGTTAGCCAATTCTTTAAAAAACGAATCGGCCCTTAAACGTACTTATGCCAAATAGCCGCTTAGTTGTTTAATCAATGTAAGAAGTTGGATGCAGAGAACAATTTAACCACTGCTTTCATTTGGGTATATCTTTTTATTGCTTTGTTCTAAACTTCATAGTTCAAATATAACAAAATCTGAACTTTTCAAAGGCTTTGTTAATATATTTATTTGATGGTTAAGTACAAGAAAATGGATTATGTCTTTCCCTCATGATTCCTAATTTTGGAAGATGAATTATTTTGTTTTACCATGACCTGACTTAAGTATTTGTCATCACGTGCAACATTGTTTTATTTTTTATGAAATTTTTTATTAAGATTTGTAATTTTAATTTTAGATGGTTGCATCATTTATCCTTTTTATAATTCATTCAACTTCCTGTAAATTAATCAAAAACCTTTGATAGTGCTTTTTGCTATGCATTTATTACATTAAGGGTATGTTTGGTTTGAAGGAAAAGGTAGGGAAAGGAAAGGAAAAGTAGAGAAACCTATACAAAGTTTGTAAAGGTTTCCTTATCTTTTATTTCATTTTCTTACTTTTTCCTTCAAACCAAACACAGCCTAAGAAATTGGTGTGGATTTATAAATATTCATGTCCCAAGTAAGTTTGTGAGCAACCCTTATAGACGTCATGTCAAAAAGTAAAGTCCTCTTTGTTTTTCACATTTGCATGAGTTAAAAATAGACAATTCTAAGTTATCAAATTGGTAAGTAATAGATAATTTACATGTAATAACCCTATCAACTTTTACTTAACAATTTATTTTATCTCCCACTCCTGTGGTGAGCACAGGTTACTTCTCTAGTTTCAATCTATAATAAATAACATCTCTGTTTGATAGGACATGCATCTCCTCTTCTGTACCCCACAAGGTCTGGACTGAGTAGTCACGAGAAATTTAAGCCCTTCTCCATGAGACCAAAAAGTTCACATTGATTTGTCGTATTTATTGTATTTTTTGTTATAAATTTATTTTTAGTAATTATATATTTTTTATAATTTATAGATTAACATTTATTATAGATTAAACTGTTATTTGAGATTACACTATTTATTGGCTAATTTAATATATTTTCAGTATTTATTGTATTTTTATTAGATATCTATTATATTTTCATTATAAATTTATTTTTAATGATTGTCTACTTTTGCTATAAATTTTCAATAATTAGTAGAGATTAAACTATCGTTATTTATTAGAGATTAGACTATTAATATAGTTGGAATTAGGAGTGTTTAAGTATTGGTTTAGTTCAGTTGCAGGTTGTTTTGGCAACCAAATTGACTTGGTCAAGTCGAGAGTTTATCACTCGGATCCGGTTAACCATTAGTAAAAACCTACTAACTCAAGTTGTATCGGTTTGGGTCTATTTTCGGTTTGCTTTGTTTGTTCGAAAGATTTAAACTTAAAAAAATTAAATTTTAATTTAATAAATTACAATGATATTATTAAAAAATAAATTGGAAAACTTAAATTAATGATATGAAATATTTTAGACTAAGAAATGTGGGAATTTTTCCACATTCCCATATTAAAAAAATAAATTTAAAATATTATATTTATGGTCTAGTCGGTTCAGTTTTGGTCGTTTTATAAATGGCCAAATTGAAATTGACCTAATTTGGTTGGGTTGGAAAGTTGCTAAGCCAAAACCTGTTGGAAATACTAGAAAACCGACCAATTTGGGTTGAGTTCAATCGGATTGGTTATTAAAAAAGTTAAAATATAAAACAATTATATACTCTTATGTATTTCTATTATTTAACTTTTTCTTAACAAGGCTTGTGCATCGTACGGGTCCTTGCTAGTATATACTAAAGTAGAAACATGTCACGTCATGGACTGAGATTTCTCCCTTATCCTAGCGGAGAACTCTTAGTCCCTCTTCATTTTAGCCTTCCTTGCCTCCTCATGAAGTCACCTTATAAAAATTTAAAATTAAAAAAATATTATTTAAAAATTTCAATAACTAAATATTATAAATAACAAAATATTAAAAATACTTAAATAATATAGATAAAAAATATTTAATATTATATAATAACTTTAAAATAACTAAAATTTAAATAATGAAGATATTTAAATATTTTGCATTTTATCTAAATATTTAAATAACTAAATTTTGAATAGTTAAAATAATGAAATTATTTAATAAACTTAAAAATTTTAATTAAAGTAGAAAATAATTATAATAGATTTCATAATATTTGAATTAATAATAATTTTGTATTTAACAAAATTAATAACGAAATTATGTAATAATAGTATAACTTATAATTTTATGGATTATGAAATTCAATAGATATGTAATATTGAAATAACTAAATAATGATATTATTTAAATAGATATATAATATTGTGAATAACTAATATTACATATTTTAAATATTAAAAAATTAATAAATGAATCATATTTTAAATATTATTTAGAAACAAATAAGAAATATTAAATAAAGAAAATAATATATTTAATAATATTTGATTATAATAATATGAAATATAAATAATTTAATTTTTTTTAAATATCATTGAAATAATGAAAAATAGATTAACTTTCAAAAAATGTTTTTAATAGATATTAAAAAAATATAATAATAATTGCTATATCACTTAATAATTCTATAAAATAATTTTAGAAAATTGATATTTGTTCTAATCCTTTTAAAATCTTAATCTATATTTGTTATATATTTTATATATACTAAAATTTATATTTATTATATTTTTAGTAATTACTTATTATACTTTTGTGATAAATATATTTTCAATAATTATGTATAAATCTATTTTTGTTTATATTTTTAATAAAAATTTTCAATAGTTATTGGAAATTAAACTATTGTTATGCATTAGATATATATGAAACTATTAGTTTATCTAAAATTAGGAGTGTTCACAGGTTGGTTCGATTCAGTTGTACGTTGCTTGGTCAACCAAATTGACTTTGCTAGGTTGGGGACTTGGTCACATGAAGCCAACCAAACATTAGTGAAAACTATCCAACTTGGGTTATATTGGTTTGTGTCAGTTTTTGTTTGGTTCAAAAGATTTAAATTTAGAAATTCTAGTGGTATTATTAAAAAATAAATAAATAATTTTAAATTTAAATATAAAATATTTTAGACTAAGGAATATGGGAATTTTCCCACTTATATATATATATATATATTGACCCTCAACCCAACCCAATCCACTCAATTTCGATTTGGCCATTTGTAAACTAACAAAAACCAAATTGATCCCAAGCTCAAGCTTGGTCCAATTTAAGGTTAAGTTGAGGTTATCAACTTAGGCCCAAATCAACCTTAACTAAGCATCTCGGGCTTAGGGATGTCAATTTTTACCCTACCTGGTGGGTATCCACACCTACCCACCTCAACGGGGCGGTTTTTTTTTTTTTATTTTTTGAAGGATGTGTTTTGGGGCAAGTCAAGTTTTGGGATTCCACAACCCGTACGTTACAGGTAGGGTATGGTATTAAGCTAAACCCAATCCCCTCAACCGGCATATTGTTTGAAAGAATATAAACTTCGTGTATTAGGTGTTGAATTTAATAATGTTTTGAATTAGATATAAAGGATAATTGATGGTTTTATGTATTCTTTTACATTTTAATCAAATAATTAGTCCGCATTCTGTGCATCCGTGCGTGCATTGGACGCGTGAACCTGCGAATTAGAAAAGTACATGTCGATCATGCTAACGTTAACGTGTCACATCTGTTTGGGTGTTAACATGGTCTGATCGGTTCAATTGGATAGAACCGGTTGCGACACCAAAGCTCACCGAACCCTTTTTCCATTGGTGGCGACATCCTTTCTTCTCCTAAAAACTTCATACAATACCAAGAAAGCGAGCCAGCGTCACCATCTTTGCAACTTGGTTGCCATTCTCGTCGCAATCCCAAAGGCGGAGGACAGGAACAAAACCTCCAAAACAGAAAAACACTACAGAAAAAACCAGCTAAGCCGGCGGTTGTAAGACGGCAGTCATAAGAAACACTGGCCTTGATGCATCAATGGTGGCCGTTTTATCATAAGTTCATAACTGCCACCATTGAATTAAACCGAAGAAATGGTTAAAACAGGGTGGCGGTTCAGTGAACTAAACCGGCGGTATTTGCATTGAACCAGCCGATTCAGTGAATTAAAACTGGTCAATGCTTTCCCTCCATTTCTAAAATCACATGGAGCCGCGCGATTTCTACGAGCAATATGACTCTACTTCCCTACTTTCTCTCCTACACAACTCTACTTCTCCACTTTCTCTCCCACACAACAACAATGATATAGAAAGTTTCCTTCGTTGATCGAGATTCTGAATCATTGAGGTCGGATTTATATTCAATCGACGCATTGAGAGCTGTGAAATTCAACAAATAGTCGAGAAAGGTACGTTCATCGACCCCTGTATTTTTTATACCCCATTCGTCTTTCTCTATAAATTATAAAATCCTAATCTTGCTTTTTTTTTTTTTTCATCTTAGGGCGAGAACAGCTACTGCTCTGCACTCCTAGTACGCAGAAGTTCAATCTATATTTTCTTTATGCTCGTGGTTTTGATTTCTTTCCCCTTAGTGGTGACGAGGCTCTTAAACTTTTTCAAGAGGATCTTGCGCTATTAGATATTGTAAGATCCTATACTCCATATTAATTTATTTACGCTATCTGCTTTTCTTGCTTTGGTTCTTATACGAAGATGAGTACATGTGTCGTAGATCAAGTAAATGCAAGTTTTTTTGTTGCATTGGTTCTATACTCCTAGCACCAAAATGATTGCTGTTCTTGTACGTTTTTTTGTTCGTCAATTGTAAATTTCGGGTTTTTGTATGCTGATGGATTCTTGAATTAAGTGCATTGTGCATTGGTAGGATCAATTATACTTGTACAGTTCTAGTTCTTGATAGTTTTGATAACACTTAAGTTGTAGTTAATTCTGCTTCAATATAGTCCTTTCTTCAGTGAATTTGATTTCTTTGTAAATATATGATTCACCAAGAAAGTCCCTTTTTTGGGTTTAATAGCGAATTATTTTTAGTGAATCCTAGATTTGATAGAAAAGACATGTTAATTTTGCTTTGACAATAATGCTTAAGTGGGTTTAGGATGGTCTGTTAATTTGATAGGGTGAAGCGAAATTTGTGCTTAGAAAGCCATGTTAATCTGTTGAACTTAGAAAGCCATGTTAATTGCTAAAGGTAAGATTGTTAAAAGGAGATTTGCATTAACTTAATATTGTACAAATTCACATATTACAGTCATTTGGGCAGGCCTATTTTTTAAACCGGGAGAAGAAATTTCTATGAGAAGGCTAACAGATTTCCCTTATGTAATGGTTTGTTAGGACATCTTCCCATGAGTGAGTCTGCTCCATTTGTTGCAAATAGTAGGTTTCTGTGCAATTAAAGCACTTCCCTTTTACATACTGTACAAATTGTGCTGCTTTTTCTGGCTTTTGCAAGTAAATCAAAATGTTTGCATATTTGAACACTAGCACATGGAAGGATAATTGATTGGCCCTTGCATTTATAGTCAAAAATGCCAACAATGCTTGGGCTTTCTTTCAGGGACATAAGATCTTTTTCTATATCAAATTTTTCTGAGAATGTTTAATAGTTTTTCCAGCTAAGAATTAAAATAACACTTCAGTGGCGTCTCATGGAATTAATATCTGCATCATGATAGTAAGGAGAATAATGAACTCTTGTCCCCCATATAGCCATATGTGCTCTCTGTGCAAGAATGATAACACAATGATGGCACAACAAAGGATAGATGCTAAGAATCATTTAGAAAATCAAAATTAAAGACTGAGGCCACTATCTCTAGTGAGTTTAAAATAGTACTTRTATTACCTAATCTTGTATGTCAGGATTGTTTAAGCTCTCTGGTCTCTAGGAAGAAAATGTGATTAATGTATATTCTAATAGGTCTTCTATTGACTATCAATTGCCTTTTTGGTAGGATGTTTAGATATTATATAGGGAAGACTACTGAAGTATCCTTAGGTCCAAACTCCAAGGAGTAAGAAGAATATGGATAGGTCTGACCAATCCAACCATGGTCAGACTGGTGATGTAGGATGTATAGAAACTTCTGTTTTWTGGGCTTGGAACAGGGTTTGGGAGTAGACCTGTTCATGGACCGGGCTCGGGCTTGGCTTTTGCCAAAATTTGAATGGGGCCCAGCCTGAAGCCTGAGCCTGACATAGTGTAAGTYAGGCCCGAAGCCTGGCTCGTGAACAGGTCTATTTGGGAGTTAACTATAAATCTGGAAATCATGTTTAGAGTAAGAGGATTTATGAAGAATAGGATGGGTCAGTTATCTATTAAAAAAAGTATAGGAAGGGTTGGTACAAAAGCAATTTTAAAAAGGAAATTAAGAAAACAGAAGGGAAGAAGGGATAAGTGATTGCTGGAGTCAGCACAACAGGTTCCTTGGCATCAACACCAACCAAAGCATGGAGTCTGCACCTTCGGTTGTTTGAATCACTCCAACAGCAGTAATAGAAAAAGAGAATATACACAATGACAAATTAACGGGAAAATGGAAGGTTTTATAGGATCATCTTTGATAGGGTGAAGTGAAATTTGTGCTTAAATGGGTTGAAGCCAAGGTAGTGCACTGAGTAAAAGCATTGGATGCATTTGCACCTTTTACAATAGATGACATCATTAGGAATTGGTAGCATGTCACATCCTCTTCTATAATAATTCCCTTTTTTTTTCACAGAGACTCTATTCTGGACTTGTTGGCATTGAGTACTATAAGAAGGCAGAATTATGAACAATACACTGAACAGAAGTCATGTAGCCAACCCCACATAGTGGACAGGGCTTAGACGATTGGCTAGATTAGAAACAACAGAGTGTCCATGCAGGATCATGGAAACTTGGACACACTTAAAGGGAGATTAATAAATGTGAATTGGGGCTAGGCACTAGCTACAAGTGAACACCATGTTAAGCCAATAGCCTCACAGAGGTAGGGGTGAATAGAATTTAGAAGTATTGAGGATTAATTCTCCAATGATGGAGTTTGTAAATTCTTAGTGGTGGCTAGGCTAGAAAAGGCTAGCTGCCCTCAAGGGGTGCTTGGAACATGAAAGTTGTACCTTATTTTTACAATATATAATTATATAAAAAAATTAATTGTGGCTGATCAAAACAAGAATTCAGCTTTTATCACAAATACAAGTTTCTAGTGTTCAAGGATAATCATAATTGATTAAATTCTGAGTGGATTTTACACCTTTAGCTAAAAGGAAAAAAATCACAAGTCAAATATATACTTATATYAACCAATCTAAAAAATCAATACTTTTATTATAGCTAATATCAACTAAACAGAAGATAGAAAAAATACTAACCTTTCTGCAAGCATTGCTGACCCTTCTTCAAATAGTTCTTCCACTATACCTACAGTTGMCAGACTTTTTGCTAGTTTATTTGTAGAATCAGAGGACCTCTTCCTGAATATAAGAGCTCTACGATTATTCTGCTTTTTGGGAGGGTCTACATGTGTTCTTCCCTAGTGAACACAGGAACCAATTTCTGTAGGCTGATACTTTGACTATAGACTGACAAATTTTGTTCTAATTTCTGTAGGTTGAACTTTAACCTACCCATTACCACCAGCAGTAGCTATAGTTCTCTACCCTGGACACCCTGAGCTTTACTTTTCTACTCTTCATTAAGAAATTTGAAACTAGTTAGCATGTTGCCTTGAGATAATCAACTATGACTGCTATAGCATACCTTTTTTTTAGGAATTCACTAGAGGCAACCAAACAAATGAGTGATGTAGCAATCCACCAAGTAGGTTATTACTAAATCATATTGAATTTGATAGTCTCCAAACAAACAACTTCAACTTACAATCTTTTATGTTTATAGGTTGCAAATAGAATTTGATCTCATTGATGAAGGTAGCCTAAAATTAATTGAGCATAAATGATTTTTCACACACTAGATGGGGTTCTCTGRACCCACAAGTCAAATTCAGTTTACACATTTCAATGCAAGTCCTGCTAAGCAGGCCAGCAATTCAAGCCAGTCACTACTCACTAGCATCTCAACCATTCACCAACTTTCCTAATTGTGATTCACATCCACTGTCAGTACTTGCTAATGAGTAAACAGAAAAGAAAGAATATAAAAACAATTGATCAAATCAACAATAATAAAAAACACCATTTATGCCCAAATCTCACCCTTCAACTGGAACACTATCCTTTATATTCTCTTATGACAGCATGGATGTCCAATTTGGATATGGACTCAGTCAAAGAGAAAGGCAGTAAACAAGAATATCAGGATGCCTGAAATTACTGAAATCTCTGGAACATTTTATCTGTAGACCCTCATAAGACCAATACTAAGGAAGYTGAAGAGCATGCTTCTTTTTGCAGAAATGTTGTGGGATACTTCCCATACAGAAAATCATCAAGAAGCAGTGACATCGATAATCCTCAAGATTGCAGATGCATTCTATAGAGGAACTCCTTCCAACTTCTCAGAACTCCCACCTCTGCTACTGCTACTACTGGAAGAGTTTTCTGAAACATTCTAAATTATTCAGTAGTATTTATTGCTGACAAGTACAATGCTAGAGTAGAGATGAATCTCAAACAGATCTGATTGACAGTGCTAGGGAACAATTTCAGTTGCTGATCCTTAGGAGTGGCTTATCATTACCTTTAGGACACAAATCAAGATCAGATAAATGAAAAAGCACCAGGCTGGACCTTAGCCTGCCCATTGCCAGATTAGAACTTCTGTTCTTTAAGCTTAACATACCACATGCCATTCCTAGTTGTATTATAACTCTTCAATCTGCACCCTCAGATCTAGATAGTTATCCTGATATGAAAATAAAGTAAGAAGCTGAGTGCTACAATGCACTGATGTGTTGCAGCCTGTCCTGACCCAGATCTCAGCGATCACATGCTCGGCATGCTGGACCTTCTCAGCCCGAGTCAGATGTGGGTGCTAAATTAAGTGCTGAAACAGAATATCAAGCTTGCAGATCTATTTATTAAAGCTTTCAATTAACTTAGAGTAGATTTTATCATAACCATATTATTGGGGTAGGGGTAACCTTGTCATTGTAGTGGAGTATATCAGATAGCTAGGGTGGTGATAAATTTTTTTGATAATTCTTTTCCTGTTTGGATTTTATAATAACCATTACCGGTTAAATTAGGAACTTTTCATTGTACTGGTTGTCTTTGGAGCAATCAGTCAGAGCTGGATTAATCTTCCAAGGTACCCTTCGTAGTACATAGCCTCTCTTCTAGGAATAGATTTCATTATATAGTATTTGATTTGGTAATATGTTATTTGGGGTTTAATGCAGTAGGAATGATCCAACATATATTGAGGGAGTGCAAAAATTTATTGAATTTGCTGTTGTTAATGGATCTTGTGGTGGTAGGATATTGTGTCCATGTAAAAAATGTGTCAACTCTATATTAGAAGATAAAGATGAAGTCTTGGGGCATTTATTGTGGAATGGGATGATGCCAAGTTATACTAATTGGACTGAGCATGGGGAGAAGAAAAAGAATCTTAATGGAAATAATGCACCAAATGTGGATGTTGATATGCATGGAATGTTGCAGGATGTTTTTGGAATATCAGACCAAGTGTATGAACAAGTGAATGAAGAAACTGAGGGACTAGATGCATATGCAGGGGTGGGGTCTAGTACAGTAGCTAAAGAATATTACAATTTGCTAGGTGATGCTGAACAAGATTTGTACCCAGGCTGTAAAAAATTCACAAAATTATCACTTATAGTGAGGCTATTTCAGATTAAGTTCCTTTGTGGGTGGTCTGACAAATCGTTTACCATGTTACTTGAGCTATTGAAAGAGGCTCTACCAGAAGGTGAGGTATTGCTGAGTTCGTATTATGAAACAAGGAAGATTATAAGGCAACTGGGTTTTGACTATACTAAGATTCATGCGTGCCCTAATGATTGCATGTTATATTGGAAGGAAGATGAGCATAGAGACACTTGTAAGGTTTGTGGTACTTCTCGATGGGATCCTTCTTACAACACAAATAATGGCAATGAGGCATCTTCATCTAAACGTAAGGGAAAGATTCCAGCCAAGCTTTTACGCTATTTTCCTTTGCGACCAAGGCTACAGAGGTTATTTATGGCAATGAGGCATCTTCATTCGCTTTGATATTATTGCAAGAAAGCTTATTTAGTATATCATTTTTTTGGTTCAGCATTTTTTTTTTCTTTTGATCAATAACTGGTTGTTGAGGAACAACACTTCCTTCAGTGCAGTACTCGTGTACCAAAACTGGGTGGATGGTTTCCATTGAACTTGTTATTTGCTAAACTTATTACAGAAGCTGGTGAGTTCCCAAAATTTGAAGGAATCTGGCCCTCAAACTGGTTGTTGTTGAGGAAGATGGTGTCCAGTCTCTTGTTGAAAAGCTCTTTCGGGATGGGGCCTGAGAAGTAGTTGAATCTTAGGTCCAAGTAAATGAGGTTTGGAATGAGTAGTCACATGGCAGAAGATATGAGATGCTAATGTCTTTGTTTGCAGAATGGTAGGTATCAAAACAGATTCCTAAATAATTATTTGAATACGTATTTCTTTTTTCCTGGATGCTTAATTATTTGAATAGATGTTTGCAGTATGGGATGTATGCAGAAGATCTGATTGGCCAGAAAGAGAGGAATGCATTTCTCAAGTTACCTTTGATAGACAAGAAGCTTCTGATACAGTCATGGATACTTCTGATTCTGAAGATTATGATGTGAAGTATATGATGGAACAAAATACTAGCATAGTGGGGAAAGAGTTACTAATTAAATCCCATGAATGACCTCACTGGTATCTTTCCAATGCAGAGGTGCAGATTAACTCTGGGAGGATTCCCATATTCCCATTTAGCAGAAATCTAAGGTACTTTTAATTTGAGTTGTAAGATACCCTAACATGCCATTGTGTTATGTTCTGGTTATGATTCTTTCACATTTTTCTAGATTCCCTTGAGGACCAATGAGAGGTGGCCTATTAGATTATGCCAGTGGGGAGATTGAAATTAAGAATTTAATTACTCTGACTGGTTTGATTCCTTGCCTTGCAAGGTTTCGTATGGTAGAAGTATTGAAGTTTATGATAATATTCTGTAAAACTTGCAGATACACAAGATTCATGGCTCGATTAGAAGATAACAACGCCGGTAAGAAACTCATTCAAATTGATGTCAGTTCAGACACTGTTTGCCCATGGTGTTTTGTTGGCAAAAGAAATCTGGATAAAGCTATAACTTCATCAAAGGATAGATTTGATTTTGAGGTTCACTTCCTTGTTATTATTTTTCTTTTTTCCTAAGTTGTTTATTTTTTCACCACATGTTGGATTTACTACTGGTTAAATTTTTAGATTAGATGGCATCCATCCTTAATCCTTCTGCCCCAAAAGGAGTTAACAAGGCAGAATTTTACAGAAGGAAGTTTGGATCTCAGGCTGAACAAATTAAAGCTTGGATGGCGGAGGTTTTTCTCATTTATCAAATCACTTAATATAGAGTTTTTTGTTTCCTTTGTTTTGTTTAGTTAGTAAAAGCATTTTGAAAGCTTTAATTCTTGCAGATATTTCGGGGTCATGGCCTTGATTATGACTTGTCTGGGCTTACATAAGCATGAAATGTGGCTTAATCGTAGATACCATTATGTAGGAGAAAGATGGCCTTTGCCAGAGTTTCAACTAACCATGATTCAATAATTCAGGGGGAATACTTTGGACAGTCACTGGCTCATAGCATTTGCCACCTGATAAGCAGCGTACTCTTGTGGAGGAATTGGGTTTGGGCTACTTCACACGGGAAAGTATATAGGAGACCGGTATGTGTGTATTGTTCTGTTATAAACTTGGTGTACTTTTTTTTTTTGATAAACAGTGTTTGTACTTCTATCTTTTTGTTGGTGTAAACTTGGTGTACTTCTATCTATTTTTTTTGATAAACAGTGTTTATACTTCTATCTTTTTGTTGGTATAAACTTTGGTGTACTTCTATCTATGAACGGATGTTTGCCTTATAATGTGAACTACAAGGGGTCTCTAAAATTAAGGTTGCATTTTTAACAGATATGCCATGATGGAGATGGCATTGGACTCTCCTGATCTACCTATGGAATGCTCTCTGATCTCCATTTAAAAAGATGTAGGTGAAGGCTGCATGACCACATTCTTTCGTTTATTCTGTTGCACTCACTGTTTTCTCCGAAGCAATATTGACCCTATCGGGCCAAGTATGGGAGCTATCAAAATTGATACTTGGATACTTATTTGAATAGATGTTTCTTTTTTCTTGGATGCTTATTTGAATGAATGTTTATTTTTTCATTTCTACTTTTTACTGCAATGATACTTGGAACACTTTAGGTTTCAGCAGGTGTCAACTGAAATTCTTATTAAAAAAAAAAATTTAAACACCTAAGCCGGCGGTCAAACAAACGGCCACTTTTGGTAAAGCATTACACTTAAACCGGCGGTTTATAAAAAGTCTACGCCGGCTGTTCAAACCGCCACCTTTGACGAAATAAAACATTAATGGCAGCGGTTTAATTACATGAAATTTTAGTCTAAGCTGGCGGTTGAAACTGTCGAATTTGATTACAAAATTTAGCTAAACCGGGGTTTATGGAAGTGACAAATTAATCTAAGCCGACGCCCTTAAAACTGCCAGCAAATGTATGGTCGGACGGGTCCCTAGGCCGGCGGCCTTTGTATTCTAGACCGGTGCCCATAACCTAGGGCGACGCAACTATAGACAGCAAGCACTGAACCGCCAGCTGATATCTATGTCGGCGGTTTAGAAAAGCTAGCCGGCGGTTTAGCAAAGGCCGGCTTAGCCATTTTTTTTCTTGTAGTGAAAATAGGAGAAGAAAATGGGTTTCCCTCCCATCCATCAACCGGAGATGAAGAATCTCTGCCCTAAAAACAAAAGTAAAGTGTATCCTTCCCCCTCGTCCTCTCTTCCTTATTATTGCTCAACAAGAGATGCCCTATCCGTGTTAAAGCTCCTCCCAGCTGCGATTCTTGCCCTGGCCTCCGTTCTTTCCCAGAGGACCATGAAGACGATCAATCCACCTTCGATGGTCGAAGAAAAGAAGAAGTGCAAGAAGCCCAACAACGGTGGTAGTATTGTTCATAAGCCTCCCATGCTCGACTACGGGTGCTTCGACTGCTACATGAGCTACTGGTTCAGGTGGAATTCGTCACCCAACATGGAGCTCATACATCAAGCCATTGAGGCATTCGAAGAGCATCTGACCAACAGTGCGAGAACTCAAAGAAGAATGGCAGAAACAAGAAGAAAGACAAGATGGTCGTTGTCTCGTCATCGAGAAACCGTAAGCGGAGACAATGGTGCCAGAGAAAGAGCTCGAAGTGTGGGAAACTATATTAACAGAGCTGGAGACAAGCTGTCTAACCGTTAGCACGCTTTTTGACGTCCGCATAATTTGTAGATCGCGTGACGTCTGCGTGTAAACCAGACGCCACCCGGATTATCATTGGTTGAGCTGAGTAGTCGAACTGGTCCGACCAACGATTCATCCGACAAAGCAGCCTGGACCTCAAGCCAAATCCACTTGTCACATCATGAACTCCCCGCACCAGGTCTGGACCCCTAGTTCGGGGAGTGGGGGGCAATTAATGAAGGGTGATTTGGCCCGACCTCGTAACAGGGGGACACGTGGACACAACCTGATCAAAAGATGACAACTCACCTTAACGAGTGTACAGCAGATCGAGCTCGGGTACCCAACCACCTCGAGCTAAATTGACCTTGGAACAAGCTCACCTCGAGACGAGATCGACTCGATACCAGATCGCAAACAAGAACAGCCCAATGCCAAGGCACACCGGCATCCAACCCAGTTCGGGACTTAAAGACATCAGTCCGGGGATACCGTCACGCCACTATGTGATCCCGAAAATCCCTCCGACGGTTCCCGGACTTCACGGGATCACGCCACGTAACAGCCAGCGTTATCTCCCCTGATCGATTAGGGCGGACTCGACAAACCCTATCAGTTATCCCCCATTAATGCGGAAGCGGATCTCATCGTGACGAGGATCTTGGAACCACTCCGCAAAACCCGCGAGGACTCCATTATACAAGGGCTCCACCCCCCGAGGGTGCAAGGTATGCGTGATTTTCTTGCTCTCAAGCTCTTTACTTTCAAAGCAATTTCAGCTCGCTACTAGCCTACTGACTTAAGCATCGGAGCGACCTCGCCGGGTTAGCATCCCCAGATTCTCTGATATCCTTGTAGGTTCAGTTCGCCGTCCGTCTGAAAACCAGACCACCTCCAACTAGGAGCAGCTACATCGTGCTACATCAGAATTCAAATCAAAATCTGTTATAATCACAATTGGAATGGTTTATTTTCATGGTCTGTTTGGTTTAGAAATCAATTGAAATGGGAATTCATTTTCAAATGAGGAGGGAATGGCCAATGACCATTCCCTCAAATGGGGAATGTCATTAATAAGAATGAGATTCCGTTATTAGAATGAAGTATTTTAAATGGCTTTCAGGCAGCAGCTTATAACATTAGATGAAAATAGCATTTGGTAAAAATCTGGAGACAAAAATAGACTTACTTTTTCAAAAAAAAAAAAAAGACTTACTAAACCCGTAAATCGACGGATTGCTCACTACTCAACGCAAAGCCCTCCCAATGGGGGTAAACGAAGCGAGTATTGATCTAACAAATTTAATTAGACGGCCAATTCTTACATATCCATCGTCGATATTTGTTACATTTAATATTTGGATTTTAATTTGGAATTAATTACCTCCGGGTCCGGGGAAACAAAGTTCACCGGTGTAGCGACGTGGAATACTAAGTCACACCCGGATACAGCAGCGTCGAAGCTTCCCTCATCAGTTAGATCTGCTCGAAAGATTTTCGGTCTCCCAGACTTGCATCTCCAGCAGGTGAGAGACCTTCTTCAGGTTATCTACACAGTACCCGTGAATAATTCTTAGCCACATATCTAACAAATGTTAGGGCGAGGGCATGGACAAACGGAGAAAGAAGAAAGGTATAGAAACTTGGAAGAGAGAAAAAAAAAAGAAGAGAAAAAGGAGGGAAAGGAAGAGACGAACCAGGGTCCCTGACAGTGGTGTTGACAGCATAGCCCTTCTCAAGCAATAATTTGACAAGAAGAGAGGCAATGAAGCCGCTGCCTCCGACGACGCAAGCCGTCCTTTTTAACACCGTCTCCGGTTGTGTGGCCATGTTTCTACTTTCTGCAACTAATAGTATTCTCCTGATCGACAGTATTAGAAAGAGATTGCTGATGATGACAAACCCAATCCATCTCCCCAAATTTTAAACAAGGCCAAGAAACGTCGGCAACATTGATAATTTGGTACTACCGGCCCCTTTTTAACAAGTAGAAACCCCTATCTTTTAAATACAATCAATAACAATTATCAAGTAAAAAGGATAAAAACAAAAAGGGAAATTGTAAATTCACCATGAGTTTTCGCCATTTCACTTGAATTAATCACAATTGTTTATAATGTAAATCCATAATGTCAGTAAGTTTTTATTTTCCAAAACTCACCTTCATTAGTGCACCTTTAATGCTTTTTGATGAGGGCGGATTTGGCCCTCCAATGACATTATGACACATGGCACCTCATGACAACTAGGTGCAACTTGGAAATTCACAGGCAGCTCGCCACCAAGCAGCTCGGCACCTCATGGGCAGCTCACCACCAGGCAGCTCGCCACCAAGCAGCTCGGCACCTCACATGCAGCTCGACACCTCATAGGCAGCTCGCCACTAGGTAGCTCACCACCAAGCAGCTCGACACCTAACAGGCAGCTTGCCACCAAGCAGCCCGACACTTCACAGGCAACTCGCCACTAGGCAGCTCACCACCATGCAGCCTGACACCTTACGGGCAGGTTGCCTCCTAGTCAGACCGACCACCGCATGATAATTCCACGGATCTCACCATCGTACCCCGCGTCTTATGGGATCATACCTTGTAATGGCTATATTAGCTCACCCACTCCCTGATTCAGGCGAAAATGGGCAACCTTACCGGTTGGTGGCGTTATCCCCAACTAACATAGAAACAGATCCCATCATAGCAGGGATCCAGGAACTACTCCACCAAACCCGCGAGGAATCCAGTATATAAAGACCTCACCCCCTAGGGGCGAAGGTATGCGTAATCCCTGCTCTCTAGCTCTCACAATCTAATATCATCTTCAAGCTCGCTACTAACTGCTGACTTAACCATCGGAGGGACCTCACCGGGTAAGCCACCCCGGGTTCTCTGATTCATCTCTTGCAGGTTCCTCAGTTCCCGTCGTTGCTGGTAGCCAGATCATCTCCTACAGGGAGCAGGCGGATTGTGCTACATCATTTGGCGCCGCCTATGGGAATTTGCTACTAAAAGCCCTTGCCTCCATTCAAAAATGTCAAGCTCAGAATCAAATTCATGGCTTCCTCCAGCAACGCCGAACAAAACAACGAAGTGAACGTCTCCGAGGGGCAACCTCAGTTCCCGTCTGTCCGCATAGGTCAGTTCACCATACCGCTTACTGCGGCTGGGGTCCCAGCGCTGACGATGCCCCAAGCGACTGCACAAGTGAACGCGCCACTCCCTCCTGTAGTTGGCGCGACATTCACTGAACCCTCTGTGGTTTTGTGGGATACGCTACAAAAAGCTAAGTTCTCATCTTCTGAACGACGAAGTCCTCTTCATCCAGAAAGCTAAGTTCTCACCTTTTAGAAACTAAAGCTCTCACTTTCTAGCTTCCATTTTTTATGAACTCAAAGACTATGCATGAAGTGCTAATAGACTAAGCAGCTCTACCAACTTTACTTTCAATTCAGATAAAATCTTGTCAGTCCTCTTCGCGAGGTCCCCTCTACAAAGATGAGCTCTTCGTGGCTTCCGTGGGAATTGGCGGCCAACGAACTGCATGGGTGCCCTTGCTGGTTGAGCCTTCCAAGGCTCCCGTGCGAACTGGCGACCTAAAGTTAGTAGTGCTGCCCCCATTGGTCGAGCTCCTAGTAGCTTCTTGTAGAAGTGGGTGACCGACATCACGAGGCTGATGCAGCACAATCATAGCGCTAAGGCGCACACTCGGCGGACTGGCGCGGCTTGGCATGGCCTAGCGACTTGCGTGCGGCTTGGCGGCCTGCGTGCGGCCCGACGGCTTGTGCGCGGCCTGGCGGCCTGGCACATGCACCGACCTGGCACGGCCTGGCACAGGCGCTGACCTGGCGGCCTGGCCCAGGCACGAACTGACAAACTGATAAAAGACTTCCTCACCACATAAGACCCAGTTGCCTCTTTGGCATGGGCAAAATCAACGAGAGTGGACTATAAGTCGCTCCTAGAGCCTAAGGGATAAAATACCGAACTGACAGAGACCCTGGCACCATATAAGACCCAGTCGCCTCTTTGGCATGGGCAAAATCCAGGAGTGGACTACGAGTCGCTCCCAGAGCCTAAGGGCTAAAGTACCGAACTGGCGAAGACCTCGGCACCACATAAGACTCAGTTGCCTCTTCGGCATGGGCAAAATCCACGAGTGGACTACGAGTCGCTCCCAGAGCCTAAGGGCTAAAGTACCGAACTGGCAGAGACCTCGGCACCACATAGGACCCAGTCGCCTCTTCAGCATGGGAAGAATCCAGGAGTGGACCACGAGTCGCTCCCAGAGCTTGAGGAATTGAATCAGCACTTACGAGATCATCGAATTTCGGGCCAAAAGGAGAAATCTACTCCCTTCGCCGAGTTACTTTCAGCTCGGGAGTGGGGGGCAAATGATGAGGGCGGATTTGGCCCTCCAATGACATTATGACACATGGCACCTCATGACAACTAGGTGCAGCCCGGCACTTCACAGGCAACTTGCCACCAAGCAGCTTGGCACCTCACAGGCAGCTCACCACCAGGCAGCTCACCACCAAGCAGCTCGGCACCTCATAGGCAGCTCGCCACCAAGCAGCTCAGCACTTCACAGGCACCTCGCCACTAGGCATCTCACCACCATGCAGCCTGGCACCTTACGAGTAGCTCGCCTCCTAGTCAGACCGATCACCGCATGATAATTCCAAGGGTCTCACCATCGTACCCTGCATCTTATGGGATCGTACCTTGTAACGGCTATATTAGCTCACCCACTCCCCGATTCAGGCGGAAATGGGCAACCTTACCGGTTGGTGGAGTTGTCCCCAACTAACACGGAAACAAATCCCATCACAGCGGTGATCCAGGAACTACTCCACCAAACCCGCGATGACTCCAATATATAAAGACCTCACCCCCAGGGGCGAAGGTATGCGTAATCTCTGCTCTCTAGCTCTCTCACAATCTAATATCATCTTCAAGCTCGCTACTGAGTGCTAACTTAACCATCGGAGTGACCTCGTCGGGTAAGCCACCCCGGGTTCTCTGGTTCATCTCTTGCAGGTTCCTCAGTTCCCGTCATTGCTGGTAGCCAGATCATCTCTTACAGGGAGCATCCAGATTGCGTTACATCACTTCTTAATAGAGGTGCCTATGTCAGCGCAAATAACAACTTTCACGACCAAATTACCCTTGAATGGTAAGTTAGACGAAAAATGGTCTTTTTCGGTTTTCAATTTTCTTTTTTTTTGCATTTTTAATATTTTGTTATAATTTCCAATGTTTTTTATAATTTCTTTTTTTTTTGACATTTTTCTATTTTCTACAATCTATATTTTTTGTGTTTTTCTACAATTTTTATTTTTTGATTTTGTTTTTCAATTTCTATAGTTTCTATAATTTGAAAGTAATTTTTTTATTTTGATTGCAATTTCTATAATTTTTTTTTATATTTTTTGTAATTTCTATGTTTTTATGTAGTTTATATTTGAAAATATTTTTTGAACTTTTCCTTTTTTCATGTCTAAATATTAAAATGGTAATATATTAACACCCTTTAATTTATTTTGTATATATTTTATATTTTTCTATGAAGGTTAAAATGGTAATATATTAATGCCTGTTAGTTTGTTTAACGCCAAGTTAGTGACATGGTGAATTTTAGACGTTTTGAAAAGTAATGGTGAATTTTAAGAGAAGTGTTGAAAACTCATGGTTTGTTTTAGACAATTTCCCAAACGAAAAAAGAAAGTGACACATTTCTGTGAAGAGCAAAGTGCCATCCGCCCAGTATGATTTAACATTTCCTCCGAAGGGACAACGTTAAGTCCCACATAATGATGAGTGGTGATGCCTGGAAACTAAGTGAAGATAGAGTCGTATATATAGAGTAAGTTTTCCATCAGGGCTGTAAACGGATGAATTCAGATCGGATTTAGGCCATGTTTGATGATTAAGTACTTGTGAACTTAAAAGTACTTATTTTAACAACCACTTAAGGTTGTTTGTTAACCCACTTTTCAAATCACCTATTATGTTTTTAAGCATTTATTGGGGTGGGAATGTTTGGTAAGTTACTTTTCCCATAAGTGCTTATATTGACACAAATGACAATTTTAGCCCTCATTTCACTCATACATATATACAATGATCAAAATGTTTTCTTGAGGTCAAGAAAGTTTTTCCTTTTATTCATAAAATTAATTTCATGTAAGCAAAAAATAAATACACGTTGCCTCTTCACTTAAACCAGGCCTCAGCACAATGCCGATGTGCAATGCCCAATTCGCCTTTGCAACCGCAACTGGGCGTCATAAGATCGGAAGGAACCTCAGACGGGCAATCTGAAACAGAACCCAAATGACAAATCCTACAAGCCTTCTCTCCCTCCCAACTTTCACCGCTGAATTCTCCACCACATTTAACACCAATGACACATGTATGCTTCTCTAGTTCGAGAGACACCTTACTCGTCTCCAGCACGTTGTCCTTAGCTTTCGAACCTCCACCTTCTCCACTTGCACTTTCACCCTCTACAGGTGCCATCACAATTATAGTCTGAGGAGCTGGATCAGTCTGACTCGATGAAGAATTCTCAACGACCCCCTGCCGATCACGTATCTCTTTATCCATTACTTTCTCACTCACCTGAACATTTTCCAGCTACCTCCCTATTCAAAAATTAGAACCTCCCCAACTGCAATATTCTTGTTCTTCCGTGCGTCCGAATTGATATCTAAACCCCTCAATCGACAGATAACCCCCCTCGGCCTCTCCCCACAACACAAACACCTCCTTTGCAAATCCAAGCAACTCCCAACTGTCAATTCCTTAATAAATTCCAATTGTTGGACCAAAGACAGACACTTTTTGAATCAAGCAACTCCCAACCGTGTTGTGTAAGCTACCTGCAATCTTAACCTACAGCATAGAGTATCTACAAGGCCATGCCGAGTTCTTGAGATCCTTCGTTGGTTTAACCGACCACGAAATCTTCAGAATCATCC